TTGTGATGCTGTATTTCTGAGTGTTTTATGTGCTGCAGAACAGGAACCTGCTGTAAAACAGCAATTATGCTGAGTCAGGCTTGATTTTTAGTAATCTTTTCCTDTTGAATCAATAAATCAAATCAAATCAAATCAAATCAAAGGTACCATCCATATTGTTTTCAATAAACACCTTTTAAATTGATTTATTTTACCTTTGTGTAACCAGGTAAATTCCAGTGAGATCACAGATTTATTTTTTAAGGTAGGCCTGGGCCTGAAGGCAACCTATCATACATGTTTTTGTGCTGTGGGGGAAACCAGAGTACCAGAGTACAAGTATAGTAGTAGGAGAACATTCAAACTCTGCAGAGAAAGACCCCAGGTCCAAACTGGGTATCTTCTTGCTGTGAGGCGTTGGCGCTAACCACTGAGCCGTCGTTCTGCCAAAGACAAATTCGGCAGCGTTAGTAACATTAGCAGCAGTTGGCGTTGAAGTTAGTGGCAGGATAATGACATCATCCTGGTTAGCTAATGGGTGCTACCTGTAGTTTAGCACCTTGATGTGCAGCTTAGAAACGATTTGATGTCTTTTAGGGAAGCTTTAGCAGCATTAGCAGTTGATATTGTCTCTGGATGATGATGTCATAACGAGCCGAGCACCAACAATAAAGGCTGTGTTCCATTCCAAAACATTTTAGTTCAAACTTCAACATTTAAGAATTAATTTTCACATTTATATTGTTGCATTTAGATGTAGGATTTAATATTTACGTATTTTTAAACATCTGGTAAAGATTAGCAAAATGCAAGAACAGTGAGCTAGATAACTGAAGAAATTTATTGGTTTAGGTACTGATTTAAATTACATTCACATGGTATAGTCTATAGAACTAGTAAATGTTGTTAAATGTGACTGTTTTGCTTAACTTGATTTCATAAAGGAGATACACGGCTGAATGCAAACTCAACACATAACTAATGGTTTATTGCCATGAGTACAGGATTATTTTTGTCTTCTATAAAGGCACAGTGTGTAGGATTTTGTCAATTCTTTTAGCCGAAATTGAGATAATCACTAATGACAATAATAAAAAAACATGTCTAATCATTGCAGACAAAGATCTTGATTTATTATTTTTACCTTTTAAAATCTGTTTATATCTCCATGGTCGCGGGTCGCCACTACAGGCAGCCGCCATCTTGCACCGCCATCTTGTTTATGAAGGCTCATGAAGGACAAACTGCGGTGGTGGCGTCAAAAGCAGTTTTAGTTGTAATACTATAAATGTAATATTTGTTGTCTGTCATTGTAGCTGGGATAATTTTACTTATTAAAGCTCATAATCTTACCACT